GGTTTCCTCCTGCCTCTAAAACTCGACCTTTCTTCCTAACTCCGTAATGTGATGCTGATTAATAAAGTGTATGAATAAACATACAGTTGTTGGTGCAAATAGCCTGAGTAGCTGAAAGCGTCATTAAAACAGAACAACCCCCCGAAAACCCCCCCAAAACAACAACATATTCTGATCAGTTCTATGAAGCGTCTAGCGACGGTACGTTACTTCGTGGTGCAACAAAACTATCCTATACGTCACTTCGTAGGGAAGTATTTCAAATCTGAGTATATCATGATTGAAGCCCAACCTTCAGCCTGAGGACAATATGGGCATTTCACAATAGTGCGCCTCCAAGAGCTTGCAACGCGTTGGCCAATCACGATGCACGAAATTTGTCGACCCAATGCGCGTTTGGAAAGGTCGACAGATTTCGCGTATTGTGATTGGCCAACGCGTTGCAAACTCTTGGAGGCGCACTATTGTGAATGATTGGGCAAAGCTTTGCAGAACATTTTATAATTTTATTTCTCGGATGCCAACTTCTCTATTGAAGCGTATAAGTACCCCATTAAAAAGAACTTCACTTCAAGAACAAACCCAAGTTGTTCAATTGCATCAGACATATCAATCATTTTGTACACTACAGACTCTAAATATATATACATTCGCTAAGGAAATGGGCAAAGGAGACCTGTACTAAAGAAAGGCCTATCGCTAAAACCAATAGAAAGGCTTGAATATGGAATTAATATAAGTAATTGCAATAACAGATGAAGGAAGAAGGCAGTTCAAAACACACTGAATCATTCAGAAGTAAATTTAGCATGCTGCTATTAATAAATCAGTTGTGTAATACAGACAATGGTATCAAAATGTATAATTTCGCAATCATCGGGTAAGAAAAGACAATGTAGTATCTCCCGGGCTTTGCTATTCACAAAACCAATAGAAGGTATTGGGTGTGGATTTGTGGAGGTAAAGAAAGGATTGCCATTGCACCCTTGGAACAAAGCAAAAGTCGTCACTGCGGTCAAGTTTCTATCGCATAAGGTTAGAATGCAAGGAACTCAAAACTAAATTTGAAACAAAGATACCTTTTGCTTAATTTTCGGTGTAATATCGACAACCAGAATTAGAAGCCATTTCTGCGGTGGCACAACGCTCGTGGACAGGTGGAACGCGCGCGTTACATGCCTCTTCGACTAATAGAGTGCTGTGATTTGCCATATGCACGTGCGCGTCAAGCTGCAGAATGAGCATGTAATTGCGATGCCATCGCAGTTTTTGTGTCTAATAGTCAATAAGTTTATATTTCGAAGTCAACTGATTCAGACATCCTTATCCCGTTAGACGACATCCTTTAGTGAAAAAAACGCACGTGGTCCGTCACTTCATCTCTGACCTGTGCTCGGTAGGACAAAGACGACTGGCCGATTTTTACATCGTGAAAACGCCTGAGACATATCCAGACTTTCTAAGTAGGCTCAACTTAAAAAAATGAATTACTAACTAATGAAGTGAACTTCAACTATACACGAAACAAGTTATTTGGTCACTGTACCCAGGAAAGACCCAGGTACCGGTGATGGTGAACGGGGTAAAGAGAACCCGAACTTCTGGGGCTGGGTGTAGGAGATTGACGGGGGCTGCCCTATTACAATCTGGACTGTGATATGTTTAAACCTTTCCTTGGAGAGAGGTTTGAATAAGATGAAGATTTTGGTTATTTCTTGAAGCAAGATGAAGTATAGTCCCTGCTATTATTCAGAACAAGAAGGCCTATAGGAAAAGTATGTATCTCCAGTTACACAATGCTTTGGTAATTCCATTATGGGAGGGGAGACTTTCGATAGAAAGTATAATGAACTGACTCGTCTCTGAGCATCTCGTCTCAAAAAGCTTTCAGAAAACTCAATGTGAATGCAACGTTTTTTCTTTGTATATTTCAACTATTCCCAGCAGCGCAATGTGTGAGGGCCGCGCGCGGTGACGAATTGCGCCGAGACAGTTGACGAGACTAGTTGGGTAGTGATGTGCTCCGCCGTGCGGAAACACCTGAAGCCGGTAGGCAATCTCGGTAGAGTTGCGCTCAACCCTGGATTACGCAAAAAAGAACAGTGTCGTTGAGTCTTTTGCGGTACTGTACATAAGACTTTATCAGACTGATTGGAAAATAGGAAGTATGAAGTAGGGATGTGTTTAAACAAGCAACTCAGGCTCTTGACTATACAGTAAAAAATTAGTACATATTTTTGTCTTTCTGAAAAGACGGCAAAACTCACGATTGGAGAGGCCTAGATGTCAATTCAATTCAACATCAAATTAGTGGTTTAACTGAATGAGAATGGCACGTAATACAAAGTTTCAAGATGATATCGTATTGGTTTCGAAAAAGCGACGACTTTGTCTAATGTACGGAAATGCATGGCAGGGTTTCGTTTTGTTTTGCTTTGTATATGTTTTATTACAGTTAGTTGATATTTTTAATGTTGATATTGAACGGTACATGCACTGACAGAGTGAAGGTATGTTCTACGAAAAATATCTCTACTCATTTAATGGAAGAAAAACAAGTTTTGCCCTTTTTTATTTCATTCGTGCTAAGCACAATTTGCAGTCATGAAGAATTGCCAAAAGGCGCTAAGTTTGTGCTCAATCTTGCCTACTTGATGTCGACTTGAATAAAAAGGAGTATGTTCGCATTCGTATGTCATAAAACGCAGAATCGCTGCACTCAAAACAGCAGTTTAAATAAAAATTGTTTCATTATTTTCAGAGGATAGTATACATGAGATAAATAGAGACTGGAAAAACTTGAATTTTTAGACATGAAAAATGACAGAAATGCCAAAAGACGACGAACCAAGACTAAAAAAAATTTAAATGTAAATTAGAAGTGACCTTGCTTTGGAGATTCCCTTTTTCTTCGTTTCTTAAATCTAGAGTGAATTCAACAACGATAAAATACACCCCTTGGCTCTAATCACATTTAACCTGAACTGATAATGTGAGACATCATAATTGGAAATTCGTCTACTTCTGCAGACATTCACCGGAGCGCGTCCGACCACCAATTCTGACCGTATTGTGATTCGAATTGCCGGTACCCTTCCTATGAGTTACTCCGCTGCAAAATGTCCCTCGTGGACTCGTGATCCATGTGGTTCAATTATTCTTCACACAATGCATACTTTTCTCAGTGGTTGTTATCATCAAATCACTTGCTATTTAAGAATATAACCTGTGGTTTTTTTTTTAGTATAAAAATGGTTTGAGGATACATTGATTGAATGTGGCTGAGCTGTCGAATTCATAATTTTCTTGCAGAGTGGGCCTATGCGGATCAAAAGACTTTTCTCCAAGAAATCTGTGGTTTTTCCAACCTAAGGCAAAAAGCTTTCCTTTCCAAATTTTTTTTACAACGATAACAATTTGTAGATAAGTTGCGAAATGTCATGAGTTATATTTCGAACTTAGTCATGCAGGAGACAAATATTACAACAATGGAGTTCGAATATGCTCGCTCCAGACCTGTTATTTGCAATCCTTCTCTCTCTCTCTGTTTCGTAACGATCGGACGGGCCGTAACAGGACTCGGACGCACTCTGGTCAAACTAGCCAGTCAAGGAATTACCCCGGGCTATTTGAAATATGTTAACCTAGTTCCTTAGCCTACTTTGTACTTCGGTAGAAGAATAGAAACGCATGCTGGGAAAAACAGGCGACAAAAAAGAATGACTGTAACACTAACAGTGTCAATTTTACACCACGAAAGTTTGAAGTATCCATAACAGATATTACTATATTAGTAATCCGGGTCACAAAAAGAAGGTGTATGATTTAAATATGATGCTAAAAATCGAGGGTCTCTATATCCGCCAAGGATATGTTTGTCAAAACTGTTGGGCTGGATTAAAAGAAATCTGAAAAAAAGCAAAACTACTGATAAAACTGGGATTCACGTCTTCGTCAGGGCCCCTATTAAACTTGGAAAAATCCATGCACACTTAGACATGTTAACAGCACATCCCATATACGAAAACTATAATCCTATACTTCATTGGGGGTATATAGGTAGCATGTGAAT